CCAACACGTGCGTACCTGGGTGCTGGCTGATTCGCAGCTCGAGACAGAACCAGCAAAGGATCCTCCACCGTCGCGAAGCTCGAAGTCAGCGCGGGGCTCGGCTCCAGCATGAACCCCAGCGACTCCGCCTTCGCGTTCTGGGAAATCCCCATCTGCGCCAGCGTCGCACCCTCGTCCGGAACCTTCTTCCCTTGCATCAGCACTCGCACTCGAAGCCCGCCTCCCAGCAAGCTCATCGCTGCATCCATCACCGCTCTCTGAACACCGCCACCCAACAACCGTCAACCTCCACTGCATCGCAACCCCTCCCACTACGCATCCAACCGCATCCGTCCAGCCCCGTTCCCACCATCATCTCCCAACTCCTCCTCTACCTCACCTCCAACACCGGGCGCCCGCCCACGGTTAGGGACCCTACCTTCAAACTTGCCACACTTGCCGTCTCCGGTAAGTCCACGAAAAGCTCCGGTACCGTGAACGACTTTATGCTCAGCTTCACTGCACAATCCGCACCCCCCCCCCCCACACACACAACCACGTCCCCGTTTTAGCTCACGCTCAACCCCCACCCTCCCCAACCATCAACCCAACCCACTGCTTCTCCTACATTTCGCCCACGTACCGTGCGGCTCCACTGACTTCCTCGCACCCGATCTAGCCGACCTCGACGTCGGAGAAGACGCCACGCTCGCTGATTTCGCTGCATCAACCCACACTACACCACGTCAATATCGCCCCTCCCCGACTCCGATCCCGCTCCTGTCAACCCTCAACCCCTAAACCACTCACGCACCTCACCATCCACTCTCCACAGCAACCCACTTCAAACCCATATCCACTCACGCCTCTTTCGCACCCCAACTCTCTCACTCCTTCCCACCCTACAACCATCCGCCCCTCCTCGCTCGTCACCCGCACCACTCCCCATAAACACACTCAACTCCACCAACTCCAGCTTAAGCAGCGCAAACGTACCACTCCGTAGCTTGGCCGCACCCGCAGGAGGCCCACCATCTACACACTCGTATTCTACTCCCATCAAATCACTGCTCTTCAAATGCAAACTCGCACCGGTCCTGGGGCTACCATCCGCCACCTTCCTCCTCTTGCTGCTCAACCCGCGCGTCGTCCGCTGCCGAGTGTATGCACCGCTGCCGCCGAAGTACGACTTCCTCCCGTACTCACACTCTACCACAACAACACGCAACCACGCACCTCAGTACACACCTCCTTACCTACCCCACCGCACGCCTCACACAACCCCCCCACTCCCAACCATCACCATCCCTCCACAACCACATACTCTCCTCCCCAGCTCTACCCCGCCAACGTCTGCCCCCCCCCCCCCCCATTACAAATCTCGTCAATAATTATCAAACCAATGCTCTTATGCTAAATTCGCTTCCCCCCTCAATTAACCTTCTAAACCGCTCCGCACAACTCCGGGAACAAAAATAAATGTTTCAAAACAATAACCACTGCTACAACCTTCTTTCAGAACCCAAAATTTTCGACACCTTTTCTGAAAGCTGC